ACTACAAGGTTGTTTCTGTTCAAAATTTTCTAAGTTTTTGGGTACTCAAGAAACTACATACAGCAGCTTTAATGAACATAGTAGTCTAGTCAGTTCAACAAAAGCCTGATAATCATCTGAATCAGGTGTGTCACAAAACATATTAATATTGAGATGGAAATTAATGTCAGTAGATCCGAAATTAAGAACATCGTTAAACAGAAGTTGAAGGAAAGATGGCAAAATCTATGGGAAAAAGAGAAAAAAGGAAGATGTTTTTTTAAAATACAAAAGAAAGTAGGAGAGATGAGGGATGGGGGAAGAAACAGGAGAGAAGACACAGTAATATCAAGACTAAGATTTGGACATACTGGGTTAAACAGCACATTGTTTCAAAGAGGAAAAAAATAATTCAGGGAATTGTGAATTTTGTGATTTGGAAGAAACAGTAGAACACGTTATGATACACTGTAAAAAATACAATAAAGAGAGATACTGTGTATCCTTATACGAAATCTGGAAAAGATTAAAATAAGATACAGACTATCAGAAGTGCCAGGAATACAGAAATGCTATTTATAATCCAGATTTTACGAAGTGCTAAATTATTTGGAAGGATCTAATTTAATTAATCAGTTAGAGAATTATTAGGTTTTTTAGTAAAGAATCTTAATCCACACTCTTTACCAGTTGGTGGCGGTAATACACCAGTTGATTGTCAACCGCCAATAAATACCAAAAGAAGAAGAAGAAGAAGAATCAGGCGTGTCAAAGCAGGGAAACCTCTAAAACATGCAGAGCAGTGTGCTTTGAGAACCAGGGTTGAAACCACTGGTCTAATATACTGTATTAGTAAACTAGGGATCGTATCTGTCTATAGACTGCTAGATTTACTGTACAGCAGAATACTGAGGGCAAATATAGACCAGGTAACTGAAAACATGCCAATTCAGGTAACAGATTCTTAAATACCAGTTATCAGTCTAAATAAAGCAGTCAGTGACATATATGCTTAATAGCTGCAGATGCTCAGTTACCTGTGTTAGTTAAAGTCATTAGCTGAAGTAAAATGAATTATTTAAAATGCATTAGAATAATTGCAGAATTGGTCATTTTAACAACAGTAGCCTGCTGGGTTGCTGTTTCTAATATTTGTCTCATTTCAGCATACTCTATTCACCWTTTCC